TGAAGTAATAGATCTCATACTAGTTTGTCTGCACGGCACGTTTCTCGAGGAACACGGTATTCTGTGGGAATTATTTTAATAGTCCATGAGGAATTAAGCAAGCCTGGAGAGCAGAACAACGAACTCCTGTTATTCGAAGCATTATTTAATACTTTTATGATTTGTCCTTCAAAGAATTCTTCGTCTTCGGGCAAGCAGTGGACTGCAGCAGGAGAATGAGCCCTTTGCCCCGTTTCTCACATGTGACCTGTGTATCGAATGAGCTTCGAAGTCTCTTTAAGCAGCCTCAGTTAATGGGCAGGGTGATGGCTTTTAACCACAGAGGAGGTGCTTCTCCTCCACTGAGGATATTGTCTGTGCTAGTTGGTCCCTCTTGTTTAAGTTGGATGAATGCTGATGTGCTGTCACGGCATTCTGGATAAATGTGGAGGAGACTGTATTTGTGCATGACATCTGATGTGGGTCTTGAACTTGTGCGATTTATTTCTTTGGCTGCCTTCACTTTTGGTCCCATCCTGGGCTAATGACTGAAAGATGGCAGCTGGGCTCTTCTCTAGACTGAAGTCCGTTTGTCAAGAACCATTTTTACATTTTTGGGTTTTTCCCCGTCGTTAATGATCGGGAAGCTGAAGTGAAAGCTGTTCCTGTTGGGAGGATATCGGCTTCACTTCCATCCCATTCACCATACGCTCTGAATGTCTGTGGTTTGTTTTAAAGCATGTGCCAGTGCCTCTTCTTGGAGGGTGAAATTTGCACAGGGTCTGGCAGACCCTGCAGACAGGATGTTGACTCTTGAGTGTCTTGACTGACGGACTGGCTAGGAGGCCCGCTGGAGGTGCTACATGGCTCCAGGCAATCTATGTTTCTAGCCAAGGCCTCTAGTATCTGTGCTGCCGAAGCGAGCACACTGGCCAAGGCCTCTAAAATGCAAGGTTTGAAAGCACTTGCTTCAGATTTCTGGGGCTGATTTACCCACAGGGATCTAAAAATTACATTTTTTTTTGTCAGAGGGACCAAGCAGGAGGGCTTTGCCAGCAGTTTTCCCTGTTAACTCCTGACTGACCTGACTTTTGCTTTCCAGATTTGTAATTCTTTTTTTTTTTCCCCTTTTTTAAGATTTTATTTATTTCTTTGAGAGAGAAAGTGAATGAGAGAGAGCATAAGATGGGGGCAGAGGGAGAGGGAGAAGCAGGCTCCCCGCTGAGCAGGGAGCCCAACACGGGGCTCGATCCCAGGACCCTGAGATCATGACCTGAGCCAATGGTAGAGGCTTAACCGACTGAGCCACCCAGGCGCCCCCCCCAGATTTGTAATTCTTAATCAGCTATTAGCACTCTAGGGATGGTCTTTGACTGCTGATTTCGCCATGGGCTTCAGTCGCCTCACCAGTGAAGCAAGGCCTTAGAGCAGAATGGTCTCCAGCATCCTGTGACTTCATGATCTCCGTGGGGTTCGACTGTCTTCCTTGGGGTCACTTCATGTATTCTACATTTATTAGGTACCTCCTGTATGCAGGCATGTGGGGTTCTTGAGTATTAGTTTACTCAAAGCATTTGAGGAAGATGCCTCTTGCAGACCAAGGAGTCTCTGGAGGAAAGTTCACAGCCACTATTGGTGAATTCCCACCAAACTCTTAACAGATGAGTGGTGTTGTCTTGAACTTGTCACATGTGAGGAATTTGAAACTCAGAGCAGTTTACCTTACTCTTGGGTACCTTGAAGGTTAAACTCTACATGATACCCTAGTAGATACAAAGAAATGATTTTTACAAGGGGATGGGAGAGTGTATTTTCTAACCCATCTAATATTTACAGAGATCCTGTGAGAGCTACAAATGACCATCTAGTGTCAAAAGAAGTTGTGAGTTTTTCAGTACTGATTGGGAGATTAATGTGGAAAAAAAAGCTAATTACAATGAAGAAGTCAATGCTTTGTGAAGACAAGAGGACCCGCTGAGATTATGTGTCTGCTTTAGAATTAGACTGCTTTATAGCAGAATGTTAGTAAAACACAAAGGGAAATATGAAATAAGTGTGTCTTCTTCCAAGAAGATGTGAACATTATAAAAATCAAAATTAAGTCATATGAAACTGTCTCCGCCTTTTGAAAATCCAAATGATTCCAGGCCAAAAAATTTTTTTTTGGCTAAGAAATAGAATAAGTTTTTAAAAACAATAAGCCTGGAGAATCTCGAGTGTCTATAAAGTGACTACTGTAGCTGAGAGGTGAAATGCGAATAATGATTAAGTGCTTGCTTGCTTTGGATGTCTCTCTTCGCCTAAGTGAGCATAATTTAGGTGACGGTCTGAGCATCTGCATGGCAGCTGCTGGTGCCACGAGTTAATGCCAGAGAAGACAAAATAGTTGGCACACCATTTCTAATTTCATTATTGTACCAAGAGCCAGAAAAAATAGAAGTTTATATTCTTTTGAAGTGGGATGATGTTGTATCTCTTTTTTTAAATGGGCTCCACACACTTAGATACACAAAGTATTCTCAAGATATTTGTAAGCATATTCTGACAATTTTGAGTGTGAGCTGGTTTGTGTGTGAGTGTGTGTGCTACTGTAAAAAAAAAAAATAAGTCAAACTATATGAATTTTGCCTGATTGTGGAATTAACATCCTATTGTAGTTTTTAAAATTTCTGGGTACACTCAAAAATTTTCGATGTTGTATAAGCGTTCAAAGCAGTGGTTGGCAAACTGTTTCTTTAAATAAAGTTTTATTGGAACACAGCCACAACCATTCATTTGCATATTGTTTTTGACTGTCTGCTTTCCTGCTACCACAACAGAGTTAAATAGTTGCCAACAGAGTCCATCAGGCCTATAGCCTTAAAATATTTATTATTTGGCCCATTATAGAAAAAGTTTCTGGATGCCATTTTGCAAGGTGCTGGAAGATCCGGTCGGCCCCTAGGATATCTCCCCGTTTCACACTATGTGTCTTGATCTCTTGTGTTAGAACCACTGAATGAGAATGGGAAATCGTCTTGGAAAAACATTTGAAAAGAACTGAGGCTATTTCTCTTCTGGAAGAACCGTTTTCTTGCGTTAAGTGAGAGGGCCAACCCAAGCCGATCTCTTCAAGTTCCTGCTAACTTGAGCTTTCTTTACTTACTTGGTAGTTCTCTTTGAGGAGTTGAAGGGCTAGCATGTGGAAGAGGCATTGTTCGATTGTGAAACCATGGGGAGTGGAGTCAGGATTAATGGGTGCAACTGCCACACTTGAGCTCAAGAAGGAAGAGCACTTGCTAGGAATGGCTTGTAACTAGAATGTGCTATCTCAGTGGATAATGAGCAACTTGTCACTAGAGATGTTTAAATAATGTTGTATCAGAGGACCTTTGAGACCCCAATTCCAGCTTTGAAATTCTAATGCTGTTGTTGTTGTTGTTGTTGTTGTTAAGGTTTTTTGCTTCCAAGCTCAGATCTGACCACAGTTATTTTGTTGAGGGTCTATAGAGGCCTCTTGGATGATTTCCTGAAAATATAATCTTGGTCAGACCGAGGCACTATGAAGGGGCAGAATTGCTTCTGGTAGTCAGGGGATGGCCACAGAAAGGCTGACCCAGAACTAGTCTCTCCTTGGCTTCTAGAATAACACAGTGGCAATAGGAAGGGTACTACTTCCTGCCATCCTTAGTCTCAGAGATGAACCATCTGTCTCCAGTTGCTGCTACTGTCTTTGCTTTCTGCCTAGGCTCCTGGAAAGAGGAACAAGCTGGATGGGGACATATCACAGACATAGAAGTCAGACTAGAGTTTCTGTGTTGCACTTTGCCATGGAGTCTAGATTGGGACTTGGCCGTGAATGGCAGTTCGGGGTGAGCTCCGACATCCTCTGTGCAGCTCCGCTATTGCAGCGCAAAACAGCCATAGAGAATATGTAAAGGAGGAAGTGTGGCTGTGTTCCAATAAAACTTTATTTATAAAAGCAGGCAGAGGGCCAGATTTGATCCCTGGGCTGCAGTTTGCTGACCCCTGATAGAGACATTGAAAGTTAGAACTAGCTCGAAAACATCAGCTGCAATTCCCTCGTGTTTTGTAGAAAAGGTGAAATGACATGTCCAAAGTCACACCTCGGTTGAGCCAGGTTTATAAGCCAGAGTCTGACTGTGAGATCAGTGCCCATTCTGTGATCCTCTGCTGCCTCTGCTGTGCAGTCAGGTTATCGCATTTGGTTTTAAGCAGAGGGTCACGCGAATGCAGGAAATACCTGCCTGAGGTGGCCTATGAAGAGCCGCAGCGAGGGCTCTGGGATGGTGCTTGAACAGACACAGCCCTTGAGCCTTGTGACCTGGCCTCCCGTTTTCTTAGACGGACCCTGTTTACAGTAAAACAAAATACAGGTTGTATAAATTAATGTGGAGAAATAATGCCCCAGAGTTGTGAAAAAGAAATGGGCTCCCACAGCTGCGTCACAGGATTTGATCACTTCAGCTGAGAGTGCCAGGAGATTTGAGACAGATGTTTTCAGACATGCCGCATGCCTAAAACATTTCCAGGGGTCGGACTGCAAATAGTGACTTAATAAGTGGAGAAACCGGGAAAGTATGCAAGTTGAGGACACAGGAGTTTATTCACCATGAGGTGCATAGCCAACCTCTTTGCATTACATCTGCCTGTCAGGGTTGGCTCTTTCATGTCGTGCCCTCCGTAGTGCTCTTTGTCTGCCCGTGAATAAAGTGCAGCATTGTGGTTAGTAATCCCACTCCAGTGACTCGACTTCAAATGTGGTTTTGGAGTGCATCCCAGAGTTCTGTTTGCTAAGCTTCCTACTCCTGTTTCAGAGACACCACTGGATACAGAGCAGCGCGCACTAAAGGCTTCCCTCTTTCCTTAAACCTGTCGGGTTGTGGGCTCTCTCGTCCCCCCTCTCCTCTCCTTTCTTTTTTTCCTTTTTTTTTTAAAAAAAAAAAAAACCTTCCAAGGCACGTTCATGGATACTAAGCTGATGTGTTTGTTGTTCTTTTTCTCCCTGCCTCCACTCCTAGTGAGTAACCACACTGGCCGCATCAAGGTGGTCTTTACTCCGAGCATCTGTAGAGTGACCTGCACCAAGGGCAGCTGTCAGAACAGCTGTGAGAAGGGGAACACCACCACTCTCATTAGTGAGAATGGTCATGCTGCCGACACCCTGACGGCCACGAACTTCCGAGTGGGTGAGTTCCTCCACGGTGCCTAACTGTCCTTACTGCATAGAGCTGTATGAGAGCGTAGCGTTTAGACATCCTCTTCTACTCACACTGCTCTCTGCTTGAATGGGTTTCTGTCTCTGAGTCCGAATATGCTTCTTCCGTGAGCTCTTTTAAATAACTTTCAGAATAATTGTTAACCTGCTTTTTGGCTTCTCAGAGCAATGGCAGCTAGACTGTTGCCCCTTAGTGCCCATCATTTACGCAGCCCATGGCGATGGGAGGTATCCATAGGACAGAAGGGAATCGCTTTTTAGATTAAGACCCTCGCACTCAACTTGCACTGATCAGCTTCAGATTTTTATCTGCCCGGTCATAAGGAGAATTTGCATTAGATCTGCCTCATGTTACAAAATGTGGATCGTGGTGATGAAGTTAAAAGTTTTACTGGATGAACAGTCATGTTCTAAAAAAAATTCTAAAAATTGTCAAAAACTGCATTTCGGTTGTAGAAAGGAATACGGACTTGAATCTTTCGCCACATTTCTGCTCTGTATCAAAAGGCAGAATTATAAATTGATATATGACAGGGATTTAGGGGAAAAAAATGCTAGTGGCTTACTGTCAGCGCTCCAAACCTTTTAATCTTTCATAACTAATTTAAATATGAACTGTGTGGCTTACTGAAAAGAAAGCTTTTTCCTTTAAAATTTTTGTGTGGTTTTTACTTTTTCGTAAAGGGAGAAAGTATTGCGGTCACACTGTCACACAGCTGTGTTGTCATGCAATACAGTATTTTTGTCATGGAAAAATGTCTTTTATTATTTTTTGACCAATTATGGTTTGCCATGTGTACTCAAATAATCACAGACACCCACATTACTTTATGAGTTACTCACAAGAATAACCCAAATGTCAGACAGATAATAACACTGGCTAGATCTGGTCTTTTTATGGAATATTGCTGTTTAGTCTTGAGTGTGTGTGTCTGGGTTGGGTAGGAGAGAGGGTGTCTCTTTCAAACTGATGATCATCAAGACAAAACACAAGGGGACAGCGTGAGGTCCTTATTAGCTCTTTGATTATTCTACTGCTTTATTGTGACTCCCAGTCCTTCTGAGGTCAAAGCAGTATTCTGGATAGTCTGTACTTGGAAAAAACATGTGCCCATAGATACTATTTAAAAGGGTATTGTGAATTTCCTGGCCACGATAAGGGTGTTTGGGCATATTTTAAAAAGAATTTAGCTGGTAGGTGCCAAGTGGCACATTACACTTCGCAGGGCAGAGAGCCGAGTCTCGTGGGAAGTGTGCTGAACCGCGGATCGGGAATCTAGATTCTGTTCCCGGTCCTGCCACTACCTAATCCACAGGGTGTGACACTTACTGTTTCTGGACCTCAGTTTGGTCTCATCCATAAAATAAATGGCTTATGCTTAGTGACCTCTGAAATTCAGTCTGTCTTTAAAATCTTAGGACTTTTTATGAGTAACAAGTAATCCTATTTTCTGGAGGGTTGTAGACAATGAGGGGAAGAGAAAAGGCAGCTCCCAGGAGGTTGTTACGGGCTTAATGGCTTTTTCCCACTTTTACTTTTCTTGATTGCCTTCCTTGCTCGCATGTGTTTCCCAGCTCCATCAACAGCGTCGGCCCCTCCCCCTCCTCCTTGCATTTTTCATAAATCTTTACAGTAGGAATGACAAAGTAATCGGATGGGTGGTAATTTTTTTTGGCTTACAGTGTATTCATTTTGAAACTAAATATTTGAAGGCTTTGAGAAACAGAGGAAGTCTACTTGTTAAAACATGCTGCACACTTTCCTGTCTGGCATTTAAGCAGATGTTTAGGAACAGGATACACGTAGCCTATTCACAATATAAAACGGAGCAAACTTATTTACACACAAAAAAATTTCAAAACCAGAACTCAACTCTGCCACAAAAGAATTGGCAGAGTAGTTAAAAAGAGAGAGAGAGGGCTTGGTAATAAAGTTTCACATTGGCAGTCCTGGGAAATACTTCATTTATATCCTCAGCTATTTTCCTCTTCTCTTTATTTAAATTCAAATATTGGATAATTTGTGGGAGAAGTTTTACATTTTTTTTTATTCGAAGAAGGGTAATTCTGTAGAACTCACAGATTATGATTCTTCAGAAATACAGAAAGTTTTAGAAATTCATTTTTTAGACCTCTATCTTTGTGGACTTAGTTTGTTTAATATAGCTTTATTATTTACAAAAAAGTGACTTTCTAACTTAGTGGTTTTTCTGTCTATTTATATTTGCTTATGATATATTAAATCTTTTGACAAATAAGATATGTATATGGAAAATAGAACAGCTTGGGGCAAATTCAAAATTCATCGTAACTTGTTAGCTACTCTCTTTGGCTTCTGGTATGTCAGATGTGGGGGCTAGCAAACTTCTTCTGTAAAGGGCCAAATAGTAAATACTTGAGACTTTGCAACACAAACTGTACAGTGTGCAGCTGCTCAGCTCTGCAGTGGCTTTGCAAGCAGCCATAGATGATATGTACCAGCCTGGGTGTGGCCCCGTACAAAACCTTCGGTGGGCCAGGTTTGAACTGAGTGGCACAGTTTGCTGACTGTCCTCCAAGGACTCAAAATAATACTGGGAAAACCATATGGACTTCAAAGTCAAGGCAGCTTAACTAAATAATCCATTTTGATAATCAGAACACAGAAATAATTTTGAACATTTCCATGGTGATTTATAGGTTGGTTTTTTTGTGTGTGTGTTTTTTTTTTTTTGAAGGGATTGGGGCACATAATATTAACATTTTTTTGATAAGGAAAACTTAGGTGGTGGTATAAGGGAGCTTGACTTAGTTACACAGCAAGTCTGTTAGCTGGGACTAGAACTTAGATCTCTTTAGGTCATCTGTTTACTTAGTTTCCTGGGGTCTGACCACAATGTATAGGAGGGACACAGGTGAAAGGACCTCGTGGAGTTGGGTTTTGTGGGAAGGACGGGTGGTCTGATAGAGAATGGACAGCTCAGAGACCAGCAGCCCTGGGTTGGAGTCCTGGCTTCATCATGGCCATTGGGCATGTTCTGGTTTTAGATCCTCTTGGGTTCAGGTCACTGGCCACACAAAACAGGTAATAATGTGTATACAGAGGGTGGTTCTGTAGCAGACACGGGGTGATACTCATTTCTTCCTTTTTTTGTGTTGCTTCTGTGGTCGTCTTTCTGGTCTGTGGTGGTGGTGAGTCTGGGCTGTTTAGATGTGAGAGGCAGGTGTATTTTTCATGACGATTAAGCACATAGTCTCTGTTCTTGAGTATTCAGTTGGGGAAATCTTTTTTTTTTTTAAGATTTTATTTTTAAGTAATCTCCACACTTAACGTGGGGCTCGAACTCACAACCCTGAGATCAACCCCTTGACTCAGCTAGGCAAGCACCCCCAGTTGGAGAAATCTAAGGTATGACTTCCACTGACTGTGAGGTCTGAATGAGGATGATATCCAAGGGAAGTACTCTTGAGATTCTAGAATAAATTCAATTTTATGAACATGATATTGATACGATGTCACAGAATATTTACCTTAAATGGCATTTCCTTTAAAGCAGATTTCTAATGATAATAACTTTTTTGTGACATTCTGAGCTTTGCCTCTTTGCTCTCCCCACCTTTGCCTTTTTAAAAAAGGGGAGCAAATTCCCAGTTGAGTGGGCCAGCAGGTTAACCATTGTTGTTTTAATAGATTCTTTCCACTCGTAGGGATATAATGAAGATGACCTCCTGGTATTTTTAAAGTTGTTCATAGAGTCGTAAGTCCCCCTAATAAGGAGAACACAGAAATTCATGTTGTCACAACTAGAATATTTGAAATAAAATAATACTATCCGTGGCATAGCTTATTTGTAGAACCAGTAAAAAGCAATCATGATGGCTAACATAACACATTTGGTTTATATGATGCTGCTTTCTCTGAAGAGTTACAGGGGACTTAGTTTCCATGAGCATCCCATATGTTACTTCATTTGATGCTTACTTCCTCTGAGAGAGGTAAATTATAGTATTCATGTTCTGTGGATGTGAGTACCAAGGCCCTGGTGGTTTGATTAAAGGTGACTCTCACTTAGGTTTTTCTGTCCCAGAGACCTCCTGCTCTCCATGTTGCCAAGTGAGTATGTATAAAACACCGTATTAGATTTTCCAAGATAAATCATAAAGCTGTCCGCTGAGAGCTTTTGCTTTGGGGAGACGAGGAGTATGTGTAAATAAATCTAAATCGAGGTAGAAGATGTTTTGCAGGAGCCCGGAGAAGGAGATACCACGTCCAGCTGAGGGAGGGAATGCTTCGGGAGACAAGGAATGGCATGCGCCTTTCCTGTTTAGTTCACCCTGCTATCCCAGCTGCTACCCATGTTGGCTCACTTGTAGTGGGAGCTGGGTAAACGCACGTTGCCTGATTGTAGACTGGTGGGGACAGTGGGACTGGAAGCATTGTTTAAGTTCTAAAATGTGGATGGATGGGAAATAGAAGGGAGGCAAAGTTGATATGGGAAGGAAGAATTTACCTGTTAGAATTAGGCATAGAGACAAGAAGGCACGAGTAGTTTCTGAGAAGTGGGAGTAGTTTCACCTAAATGTGGGAAACACCAAAGGTAATGATATGATACATGACAAGTCTGGGAAGGTCAACGAGTTGGGGCAAGGCTGGAGAGCACCTTGAATTCCAAGCTTAGGAATTTGGACTTTTTCAGAACTTACTAAAGTCCTCTGAAAGGGGGACAGAGATAGTTACCATTTTGTAAAAAGGAGGACGTTTTCTGTTTTTGAAGGCAGGAAACTAAGGTTTTAATAGCGTAAATAAGCTTTTGAACAGCTCATAATAGATGACAACCTCTAGCCGCTTTTAACAGCTTTGACATTGGCTTGCTGCTCTGCATTGGGAATTTTCCCCTGTATGTCTCACAAAACCAACTTCGTCCTGAAGTGTTTTTGAGGAATGGAAGCAGTTCATTTTGTTAACACTCATTATGTGGGATCTCTTTTGTG